ACCAGCAACAGTCTCTCTGCTGCCTGGTACCGTACTTCTCACCAAACCTTATTTCCCATTTCTTCACTATCGGATACGAGTATTATGACTGTACTGTTCATACGTTAAGCGAAGCCTCTAGTATTTCACAGTTTTATTATAGCGTAACAACTACAACCGTTGTAGAGAACCACACGAGAACCAGCGTAATGATTATGAATTGTGAACTCCGATGAGGTGGTGGTCGTGGTTTNGGATCTACCAGCAACAGTCTCTCTGCTGCCTGGTACCGTACTTCTCACCAAACCTTATTTCCCATTTCTTCACTATCGGATACGAACTACGGACCTCCGGAAAGCGTTAATTAGATCTATGCCAGCAAATTTGACTTTTCTACATCTATTGATACATAACTTGCCGTATTCAGAAACACTGTAGCAATTGCAGAGACTATATTTTGATGGTGATTGGCTGCAAGTCAGAGCTAATCATATCCGTGACGGAACAAATTACACATAGACCGGCTGGGGTTCAAACCCATGTTCCTCTGGTCAGGGGCTTGTATACTAACGATAATAGCATTGCAGTTGGCAAAAGTATATATTGCTGAAGTCATCTTATTCTTTCAGTTTTCTCTTTGAATACAGGTGAGCTACATCATGGAACGTTGTTTTAGTTGTCGTTCCAGTCCTCAGCAATACACTTTCTGGTAGATCGAACTCCATACATTCATTAGACCTGGTAACATAAAATCTAAGTCTCCAGCTCGTAGCCAACGGCTTCTTTGAGTGATCTGTCATGGCTTCCACCCGACTTCCGTAGCTAAAGCATTATTACGTATTATGTTTAAAATATCTTCTTTAACTTTTGCTTGAACTAATTTTCTATTTTGTAAAATTTTATTAGGAAAAAAGCGTAACTTCAGCTATAACTGTCTGAAAATTACTCTTGTGGAGTAGAGTATTTAAATAAATTAAAAAGTCACCTTGCAGGGAAAGTAACCAATTTCCTAGTGTAGAATTTACCCAGTCATTAACTTTTCTGTGTTACAGAATCGAAATTTTTGTCATCGTTACTACAAAAGCCGTCAATTCGTTCTGTTGCGAGTTAGTTCACAGCTCCTTCTTTAGGACTACTTTTAACATTATCCCCCGCTACATCTCGTTATATGTAATTGTTCTTTTCTTTTGGTTTTCTAATAAAACCTCTATATGCATTTGTTTCTGCGCATGACGGTTATGTTCACAACCGATTTTAAATTTAATTCTAAAATACATAAGATATATACCACGTATGAAGTATCCCGTTATTTTTACATTCCCATGTTTCTTTACCTCGCTTAGACCTAAATATGTTATCCACGATTTACTTTTCAAATACCTTCAATTTTGTTTTAATCGCTCCATCAGGAAAAGATGAAAATTAAAACAATGAATTTGGGTCGATGGGAAGTAATATATGAACAGTGTAGACATTGAAGGGTGTTATAAAGTTCTTGAGATAGGCTCTGAAACAGAAGCATTTTCTGATATAATTTTATGTTAGACAAAATAATCAAGAATTTTATTGCAACTTTCTGATGACGACAAACCGCTCAGGTTATATTCAGACACAATAGAAACAGAGCAACGAGCTCCACCCAGCCCAATCCTACTCGAGATTGCCCATTCTACGAAAATTATTTAGTTTAAAATAAAAGTGTCTGCACACTACGACAGACAGCAAAGTCATCTTAAAATGCCAGAGGCTTTGATAGCTGACCGCAGAGTAAGCTACCTTACCAGTAAGCAAAAGAGAAAAACACAGTCGTCCGCCGATAATCGACGATTCGATCAATCGACACTCCAACGGAATATCCATATACTCAAATGATCGTTCATCTGTCAATCGATGATTGTCATCGTGCGCGCAATCGGGTCACCAAGCCATTCTGGTATTGTGATGATGCAGTTTTATTATTGTGAAATCATGGGCCCTGCAATGAATATCAAAGCAAATGCTATAACCGACGTTTCATGGAATTGCACAATGTCAATTAATGGGGATGACTATATAAGTTGTGGGCACTTCGTAAGATTAAATTTCGGAGCACTATATTAAAAAATTCTCGTAACATTAAAATTCCCGTTTCTGCATCAAACAGGATGAAGCAATCCAATAGGGTGAGCCATAAACTGACAAAATTCCATTCACATTTGCTTTCTGTAAGCATGTCTGTGAAATTATTACATGCTATCAAGGTTCATCCGGTTTGATAAAAGAGTAATTCCAAATAAATTATTAATTAATCAAACATTCTGATTAAAGGGATTCTCGTGCTAAAATTGTTTATGCTTTGAGTTCTTAGTACTTTTAGTTGACTCATCTTTTGCTTTGGTTGAGGCACTATGATTCGCTTAGTGGGGGGTGGAGTCCAACTGGGTCCACTCTGCACGGCGGCCACTGATTGGCCTATTGTAGCCTGCCCCGGGTGATTATGATGATGGAGAATTTGGTGAAATGAAGATTGGTGGGGGAAATCGAAGTACTCGGAGAAAACCCGCCCCAGCGCCACTTTGTCCACCACAAATTCCACTTGACCAGACCCCGAGATCGATCGTGGGCCGCCGCGGTGGAAAGGCAGCGACTAACCGCTTGAGAGGCACTATGATGCAAGCCGGAAGGTCCCGGGATCGAATCCCAATGAAGTCATTGGATTTTTCAATTTACCTAATCCTTCCAGCCGCACTATGGCCCTCAGGTCGACTCAGCCTCTATCAGGAATTTTCCTCAGGGGTAAAGGACGGCCAGCGCGTAAGGCTCACTCACACACATCCCTGTTTATTTATCAATGCACACAAATTAATGAGCTCATTTAGCATCTGTGACACTGTAATCATATGTAAGTAGAAAATTTTTTCTTGACACGCATATTTAACGATGCACTTTGTCGACTGGGAGGTTACGTAACGTCAAGAGAGTAACTGCAGGTCGATTATGAATTAATTGTAATATTTTAAGAAACTTATGATGTTATGGTATAGGACCTATGGCAGGACGGTTGTGAGTGATGTATCTGGAGGGATGTGAGATGAAACGATCGTGACTTTTGAAGTTACTATTCCCGAATACGCATACGAGGCCGCAGACAAACCGAAGACCCATTCCGGATAGCTCGCCTAAGGGACGGAATTTGAATGGGGACTTCCGAATATGAAGCACCATTAGGCCACGGCATTCGTTATCAGTAAAGGAGATGCTGACGGGACACGGTCCGTTGTTTCCGCGAGAATGCACGAAACTTTGTTTCTCGCTCTGGAGAAAGAACCCTAAGGACTGAGTATACAAAAACCCCCATGAACCGCGTATTATAAGTATCCGAAGATATCCGTTTATATCCAGGCTTGCCTACTGTGATAAATTGCCTTGGATATCTGCAGTTTCTGCTTGTGTATGCACAGAAGAATCAGGGACTTCCGCATGAAGAGCTCCGCGTTACCTTCGGGAAGGGCTGTAATCGCAATCGAAACCAGTTTTATAGATTTCAGACTATAATTATATTGCCTTCTTGTGGAACTTCTTTGTATTTTATGTCTAATTTCGAGTATTTTTTATCCGTGTCAAGGCGCGTTTTATGTTTAGCGAAGGAACAGGCAATTTTGGTTATGAACGGTGTTAGATTTGGCAGCGGTCCCTCTAAATCCGTTTCACACTAGCCCTTGACCTTACCAGCAGCGGCCTTTCTTGGGAACGCACCTCCAAAAGATGGCGAGAAGTTATTGTACCTGTAAACAAAATGATGAATAAAATTTGTGAACCTAAGAATTACGAACAGTCAGAGACCGGATAGAATTATGTACAGACGAACTTCATGATCTGTAGCGTACTTTCCATTCAGTATTAAAACTCGTAGTAACTGCAACTCTCGAACAATACATCCCAAAACTTCGACACCCCTGACACCAAGGCCAGCAGTAGGACTCAGTCGTGAACCAGTTCAGTTTAGTTAACATCCTCACATACTATTATGCTAACATTAAGGTATCTGCATGCAGTACATAGAGCACAACATAATATTACTAGTACTGTCATTAAATGTCACAATTCAAAATTGCTGCTTTCATGTTATTTGGAAAAACTCAAGTATCTCTGTTATTAAAAACTACCTGTAAGAAAGAGAAGAGCGATAAACTTTTCTGGGGTAGTCATCTGAAAGCCAAGATTAGTGTTTAACATGTTTGGAAAATCTGCTGCCGATACAATTGTAACTGCATCATCCAAATTACGTAATATAATAAATTACTGGCTGTATAATATTGAACCACAGGGGGCACGAGGTAGCGTAGTTAGTTGAGGGGCTATGCTACAAGCCGGAAGGTCGCGGATTCAAGTCCCGATGAGGGCATTGGATTCTTTTTCAATTGACCTAATCCTTCCAGCCGCACTATGGCCCTGGGGTTGACTCAGCCTCTAACAGAAATGAGTATCAGGAATTAATTAAATAATTTTGGGGGGAGTAAAGCGCATAAGGCTGACAACCTTACCGCCATTTTTGAGCCGATTATCTAGATAATGTGGGACCCTCAACGTCTCACAACCCTATGGGCCTTCACGGCCTGGTGCAGGGATAGCTTTACTTTTTTTTACTTTTACTGCTCTACCATATCCAACTTCTACACATTGTTACCCTAGTACATATTCGTCCAGTGCATCATGACCTGCTTGATTTCTCCATCTAATAATACTATTGTGTAATATTGCGAGAATCCTACAATTAAGATAGTTGAAATGAGCTGTAAATAGCCTGTGAGAAGAAAATGCTCATCGGATGAGACCAATGGACCGTAATGCCTAGAGATGGAATAATGATATTAGAATAAGTCTTCTGGAAATTGGTTGTGAGGATGTGAACTGGACTGAATTGACTCAAGACCATGTCTTATGGTTGGCTTTCGAATTAATGGCGTTGAAAATTCGGATATTAATGTTAGGTGTTGACAGTATATGAGGCAAGCATGATAGTTGTGGGTCTGTCATTGCAGAGCATGGCAAGCAGCAGCAGCACAGTCAGACAGACAGTTACCACCACGGTGCAGCAGAACCCTTCACTGGACAACAATCTTGGTATGTACAAGTCAACCAACATATGATTGCCTGTAGGTGAAACGCTACTACTCTGAGATGAGGGTTATCAGTGGCACTGAAGTCACTATCTAAACGTACAGGTGCTTTTGCAGTCATCACCAAGCGCATATCAGCAGGACAGCAGGGGCTCATCATTCAGGGGCAGTCATTAGTTGGTTGGCCATGCAATATAATGCCTTAACATGAATTTTCTTCCATTTTAATGAATTAATCCTATAACAGAACAAGCCTACAGTGTGACACCTAACCAGTGCCCCCACAGACAGAGGATGAATTTCCAACACTTGTCTTTAGGCTGAAGCCCGACACATTGCTTCACAGTAACCATTCCTGAGTACATTTGGAAAGGGACATGATACCTCACTGACCCACACCAGAATAATCTTTCAGTTAGTGCAAAAAATGTGATATTTGAAAGAGCCACAGCCATAAGATTTATATGAAAACCAAATGGCTTCTACAAAGCAAGAATTAAACTATTCTAGACATTCAGTGTTGTTATGAAACCCAAAAGATCAAGACTGTCTCCATAAAAGCTTACAATTGAACTATATTTTACCTCACTTCACTCCTGTGTAGCCTCTTTTCATGTCATTTTTCATTCAAGACATTGAATTCCCCAACTCCATATGTGTCTATCCCAAAGTAGTTTTGATGAGCAAAGAACCATGCTAGAATAAAATCTTTCACCGCCATAATTCATACTGTTGGTGTATGATACAACTTTTAAATTGGCTTATTTTCTATGAAACTTGGTACAAAGGTGTTGGAGGTTACTCCAGTATGCATTTTGTGACTGAGTACTAGTAAGTCAAATTAAGTATACTCTGCACTAAAAAATCAATTTTTCACAATGTACACAATTTAAAATATGATACACTCTTCATCGTCACTTCTCATTTGGCTAATTGTACACTAACAATTCAATTTAGCAAACTACACACTCACATATGGCAGATTGTATATTAGTTATACAAATCTGGCAGACCGCATATGGTACTGCTAGTTCAAATTTGGTGATATACATTATGAATTAAAATTTGGCAGGCTGTATACTTTCAATTAAGACTGAAATATTCTTAAAACAGTAACAATTAAATAAAAGCAAAATATTCCTGGAAATAATAAAAAGCAGTGTAAATTTACCATTGGAAATTCAAATTCAGTAGATTACACTTAAAATTCAGATTTGGTAGACTGACCAATAGAAACTCAAGTTCTATGAACTGTGCACTTGCTAATTGAAGTTTTACTAGAAAACAATGAAATGTTACTGGCAGTACTGAGAAGTGGTACAGCAGTAACTAATCAGCAGACTGTACTCGTACCTCAGAATTACTATTGTGGTGAATAGCAGTTCATCTTAGATTAATGCTAGCCACAACACAATGAGCCAACCATACAAAAACTTGGCTATTTCCAGTTGTGGCAGGTATCGGACCTAGTTTATATGCTGCTGGTGCCACAGTTGGATCCCCTGGGCATCAAACTAGACCAGTGTTTCCCTGACCAGTCAACATCTCACACCTTCTGGATTTGCTGTGTGGAGAATGTAAAAGTTAATTGCTATCTATAAATTGACCCCATAATGAAGATTACTGATGCCTACACTCTTTAACTATTGCACCCAGAGGTCACTCCTGTGACAAGGTCACGACCTGTCAACCTAACCCTCATGACTCTGCTGTCAGTATAATTCTGCACTAATTTTAGTTTGATCATGGATAATAACAAAGCTCTTCTGGCCATGCTGCAAGAAGTACACACTGCTATGGGTAATGTCAGAGCACATCAGTGATACAAGTGTTCTTTCGTGCAACTGGTAAGAATGTCACATGCATTCTTGTAACTGTGACTGTCATAATTTTTTATTGTATTGTAACTAGCTAACTACTCATAGCTTTCTGGTAGGGGAATCTGAATACTCAATGCCACTAACACCAAAAACCCAATCCGTACCACCTCTAAGTATGGGTTTATAAACCTAAAGATTCAACATTATTAATACCAGGCCCAATTTGACTTAACTTATATCTACAGCAATCAAACCTGAAGATTAAACACTATTAATTTTAGACCGAGTCCTAAGTTAATCTATTTCACTAATAATAAGATTCATTTTATTATTCTTCCAACTCCTTCTCCGTTTTCTCAGTGATTACTTTCCAAGCAGATTTACCATAGAAATATTTACTGTATCAATTTGTTCTCTTTTTCCATCCCAAATCCACTTCCAGCTCTACATTAATTTCCTTCCTTTGATTATAATAAACAAAAATGAATGCATTGCAGAAATCATAGATTTCCTTGTGTCTGAAACATCAATTATTCACCACATCCCTTGGGTTCACATATTTTGCTGAGCCTTTAATTTTCATACACTTGCAACAATGCATGTTCTTCACTCAGAGTAAGATATCACATTACGTGTTCACATAAAAATGATAATGCATACCTTAATCAAGGTGCCAAGAAATTAATGAAGGGCAAAATTTTAAGCTCAAGCTCAATGTTGGAGCATATTCTCCTTAGTTGTTAGTAGATTTGAGAGTAGTATTTGTGGAGCCTTGCTCTTAATCTTTGGTGTTTTGGAAAGCCAATGGACTGATACAAGATTCTGAGTTAAATAATGACAATAACCTGATTAATTCAATCATGTACTATATAAATTTGATATCTCCTTCACTATGATATACATTTATCTCTGTCTGCAGTGCATTAATTATTTTAGACTCATAAAACCAGTTCAACTTTTATTTTCCTACTGACAAATTCATACTATGCACATAAAAAAATTAATGAACAGGATGGTATTTTTAGATAAAGACAGCACAATGGATAATGTCCAGAAAAATAATATTTGCACTAATATTTGTAGTGTTCATACCGTTTGTCAGTCCTGAAAGCAAACTGAGATATCATTTGGGTTCATGTAGTTCTTTTTATTATAGATTTTTCTTGAGAATCTGACTGACCATGGGAANAACACTTCCACCTAGTTAGGTGAACACGTGGCTTTATGAGGTGGGAGCACTTGGAGATCAAACCATACCACACACAATAGGATGGCAATGAGAATGGTTCTGGCCGATGGAGGTTACACTTTAGTCTTGGTTCCAAGCTGCAAGGTCATTTCTGAAGTATGGCCCTGGCAAGAGTTAAGATGCCAGTCTCTGATCAGAAAAACTCATACTCAGGTCTGGTCAGTTCTCAAAACTTTGACAGCTAATAATTTACCATGGGAAAACCAATTCATCCTTTACCTATCACTAGACTCCAAATGGAACAAGTTTAGTCAAATTCATATTCCCATACCCAAGTTTCCTAGGAACCATTTTAATATTATCTCACAACATTCCTTCACTCATGTCATTCTCCTTTACTTAATTTTGTCTAACAGGGCTATATGAAGAGTATGTACTATGAACATTTTTTGTTACATATTTTTCTCCCGCTCATTTCTTATTCATAGCTATCTCTAAATGTCTCAGTTTCATCTATCTTTAAACCAGCATATGATACTGATTAGTTAAATACAGCTAATGGATACAGGAGGAGGGCTGCAGATCTTCCCAGATTCATCATTCGTGCTTGTCCTGTCAGTTGTCCATATACAACCTAGAGCTTTTAAATATCATTAAACCAACAAACAAACAAACTAACAAACAAACAAATAAACAAAATATATTTAAAATTTATACCATTGTGTTTCTATATAGCATAGCCTTCCTGCTTCCACTGAACCCTACTCTGAAGACCAGTAAAGGGATGACAAAGCCATCATCATCAATTTCTGCTTGGACTGCTTTATATGAAACAGAAATGGCAAACAATGCGATGACTTATTCTATTGTTACTAGATGCTCTGCTGGAGGACTTACAAACCAGTGTGTCACGACCACCTTCATCTGCAGCAGTGAACGGCATCACAATTCCTGGCAGTACCCAAACATATCGTGAAGTCACTACCAGAACCATACAGCATGATGGAGCGCCTGGATACCAGGTGCAATACCTGTCTGCAGCAAACCCAACAACAGTTGTTTCTGAAAGAGCTTCCAGTCCAGGAGTGGAGTTGCTGGTGAGTGATACATCACTGCATCCTTTCCCTGCAGATTCTTCCAAGTGATAGATGGTTTTCTGATATATTCTGATACCTTGAACCATCAGCGCTCAGCACCAAATTAAGTCCGGGTTTCTTCTAAATAAAAGAAAGAGTGTAACATTTGTCTTTCATTAGTCTCTTTGATATGGAGCTGAAAAGAAAAATTGTTGCATTAGTGATAGTGATGATAACAATAACGACAGCTGTGTTTCTACTCCACCTGGGAGATCTGGAAATAAGAACTCAGGACAACTGAAACCATTAAAGAACTAGCACATGTTACCGACTGTTTCAGCAACAGCAGCAGCAAGGTGGAGGCAGTATGACAACTTATAAGACTTTGTCTTACAAGTATAACACAAGCACCAACACCACCCAACCAAGTGAGTATCAATGAGGCATTTATCTATTCATACATATTGTCTTGTGTGGCTGTGAAACTTTGTCTCTTAGAAACAGCAAGTATATGAAAATGGTTGCATCTAAGTCAAATGAAGTGAAGACTGAAGGTGAAATACTGGTTTGGGGGAAATTTGTAGTTACATAATTAATTTTTTATTATTACTGTATCCAAATCAAGGGAGTTAGGATGGATTATGCAGTTAGTCTGGTTGAGGGAGATAAGAAATGCATACAGAAATTTGACAGGAAATCTCTTGGAAGACAAGGAGATGACAGGCCAATACTAAGGTGGAATTAGGAAATGGGTTGTGAGTATGGCTACTCATGGACCTCACTCGTATTTGGGCCTAATGGAAAGCTTTGTGTTAGTGGTGTTGAACCTCAGATTCTGTTATGCAATAACTGGTTAGCTAATTATCAATGTGTAGTATGTTTTCAGGTTATATGTCATGACAGCATTAACGGCAAAGATTATTATACACTTAGGCTCTTAAAGTGAAATCAATGGCAATTACTTGGGGTTTAGAAATTCCAAATGTGAGGGAAATTACGATTCAGATAAGCATTATCACAAGCCACAGTTTACAGACATTATCACACATCTTGTGGCATGGTGAATCAAAGATTCTAACAGAAGTAAGATGATTAGTTCATTTATTAGCAATGCTGTGTCAACTGTGTTGGCTGCAGCATATTCAGTGAGAAATGAAACGATGTCTGTAAATGAAAACTTGGTAAGATGTGGAAGGAAGCAGCAATGACCTCTTCATACAGTTTTTGTAGCATTTTTCTGTAAGGTTTGAGGAAACTATGGAAAACCTCTCTTATGAGAATTAATGTATTCAGTATTATTTATTGTTTTACTGAAACACAAAAAGAAACACTTCCTGTGAATGTGTTCTTTACATAATAACTGAATTTTCTGACAGTATCAGGGCTGCTTGTAGATGGCAGCAGTGTGTCATCATCAGACCCTACATCTGATGCTCGACTGCAACAGAATCTTAATGAGCTGGACAGCCTGTTGGTAGACTTGCACCAAGCACAGAAAGCAGGCTTTGGCACAGACCAAGGTACTAGTCTTTAAGATACTAATAAAATATACGTATTTTATATTGCAAATACATTTTAACATACATACACTATAGTACGTTTTACATTTTTGTCATCAATGTAAAATAAATGACTTGAAAAGAGACCTGACTAAACTTGTGTTTTCTAAAACTGAATTGCCAATGGTCGCAAGGATTAAAAAACACGAACATTATATCCGAATTAAATTACATTAACAGAAATGAGTACCAGGAATTAAATAAATAATTTTCTTGGGGAGTAAAGCGCGGCCGGCACGTAAGACTGACAACCTTACCTCCATCTTTGAGCCGATTGTCTAGATAATGTGGGACCCTCAACGTCTCACAATCCTATGGGCCTTCACGGCCTGGTACAGGGATAGCTTTACTTTTACTTTTTAAATTAACATTTCAAATGTATNATACACACACATACATATATGTAATCACAAAAATTTCTCACAAATGACATGTCATAGGAAAAAATGGTAAAGGTAAAAGATGTTCCTCTTGGAGAGACAACCCCTGCAAAAATAGTTAATTCTGTTTATTTTTCTGTTACTTCCTCTGTAGAAAAGCACTAGGATCATAAAAATGAGATTGTGACAACAATGGAATCATGCATATAGTGTGGCTGTGATGAAACATGTTGAAATTGGATTATGACCTGATGTATGAAACAGGTGTTTCTGAAACTGCAGTATGGATTTTTCTGCATGGGAACAGCAGTTCTTCATACTCACTACTGTGAGAACAGCAAATGTCACTTATGAGTCTGCTGTAGGTTATGCATAACTAAGTATGCCAACAATTTCTGAACTGATAACATAAGAAAGTCATACTTCTTTAATTCACTGCACTATATTGTTAACAACCATGTTAAGTGGGTTCCTTCTCGCCATGGCATGGCAAATTCTTAGGCTGCAGATGGAGAAGACAGCCTCTAGATATGAAGGGTAGCTGCCTATACATTAACTAAACAGCTGCAGACTGCCAACAAAAGGTGGTCCTCCAGCCTGGGGGCTGGACATGGGGCTAACAGAACCTCAGTAAGGAGGTTGATCTAGAAGTAAACAAAGAAAACCAAGCATATGTTGATGTTTCATCACCGGAATGCAGGGTAAAATCCCTGCCTAAAGTTAGGTAACAGTTCCTTTGAAAATGTGTCAAAATCCCGATACTTGGGAATAACAGTAACAAATAAAAATTTGATTGAGGAGGAAATTAAAAGTGGATTAGATTCAGGTAATACTTGCTACCTTTCGGTTCAGAACCTTTTATTTTCTTGTCTGCTGTCTAAAAGTGTAAAAATTAAAACATACAAACCCATAATTTTGCTCCCAGTTTTGTATGGGTGTGAAACTTGGTCTCTGACATCACAGAGAAGGCACAGACTGAGAATGTTTGAGAATGGGGCACAGAGGAAAACATTCTGACCAAATAATAGGATGTTGAAGAAAGTTGTGTAGTGAGGAGCTTCATAACTTATGCTATTTGTCAAATATAATAATCATGTACAAAGGGGGTGAGATGGGCAGGACATATAGCATGAATGAGGGCGAGGAGAAATGCATACAGGGTTTTGATTGGAAACCCAGAAGGAAAGAGCCCAGAAAAAGAAAACCTAGATATAGGCAGGAGGATAATATTATGGGGGATCTTAGAGAAATGGGACAGGGTTGGTATGGACTGGAGTCATCGGGCTCAGAATAGGGACCAATGGCAGGCTGCTATGAACATGATGATGAACCTTCAAGTTCAATATAATGTTGGGATATTGTTGAGTAGCTGAATGACTGGTGGTTTGTCAAGAAGGACTCAGATCCATGCAGTTAGTTACATTGTTAATAACACATGAAATGAATGTTAACTGCAGATTCACCCAGTGCTCACAACTGCTTTTTCTTCCACCAGGTGGTGTTGTTTCTACAAGTGTAACCAGCACTCAGAATATTGATCAAGGACTGCTGTAAGTACCAAAATCAATTTGAATGACATGTCATTATCTGGGTTTGAATAGCTATATGAGGTAAAAGGGAAAGTTGTCCCTGTGCATAACTAATTAAGCATTATGACATGAAGACATATGGGAAAGTGGATGTATAGATCCCTGTATTCTTGACCTTGATACTGGTTGAAAGTGAGTGGTCAGCTTCATACCCCAGCCACTTTACCATGGGAAAAGCACCCCCATACCCACTGGATAGGAGGCTGGGTGGGCTCCAGAACCAGTGTGGATGATGTGGAGAGGAAACAAATACTGTCCCTACTTGGACTCAAACTCCTACCTCTTGTCTGTCCAGCCCTTAGCCAGTTGCTGTATGAACTGTGTTATCCCAGCTCTACAGGTACACAGGGACTTTATTATGCTGCAATAATTTTGTCTGGTTTCACTGTGATAACGTCCCATCCATTGGTTAGAATGTCATACCTTTCACCATCCAATCATTTTATTTGGTTTGAATATACACGATAAATCATATTCATAAATCAGGTGACAAAATATAATACTTGACTTTTGTTTGAGTGATCAGCAAAAAGTAGTCATATCATATTGTCATGTGTATGAGCAACTATAAGCGGGTTTTGGATTGGTAACTGGATTTATTGAACACTTACAGAACGTAACTAAAAATAACTATAGCACTATTGCTAGATCACACACTCTACAATTCACTACACCATGCACTAAGTCTTCTTAGTGTGCTTGTATCTTCAATGGTTGTCGCCTGGTAACAGCTTTCAATGTCATAGTTTTCCCATCTTCTGTGCTCATGTCCTTACTGGCCGGTGACTATCTTGTAACTAACTCCCAGGCTGGCGATCCTCTCACACCAACGTCTACTCTTCTGATTGACTGAGCTCTTCTCATGTTCCCTCGGCACAGACAGCATAGAAAATTCACCTCCTCATTGTTGTAGTACAGATGTTGAGGTGGGAATATGTTTCTTTGAAAAGTTGTTACTCAATAACGCCTGTTGTATATCTGCTTATTCCGTGGTCGTTGCCTAGCAGTGGGTCCATATGCCACATTGCTCCCTCCTTAGGCTATTCTTCCCGAATGACCTACAGGCGTACCAAAATTTCTACTTTTCTGAGAGCTGTGCTCGTGACGTCTGTGATTGGCCTTGCCTTCCTTCCCCATAGCTAGATTCTAACAATGATTACTCTCCAACTGCTCCTGTTGCTCCTTCCTAAAGGCCGTTCAGATTCCCTGATTAGGTGCGAGCTGGATCAGGTATACCTACCATCACCTGCTTTTCCGATGATGCATGGAGAAATTCTTAGAGTTGTCGTTACTCCAGCATCCCTGGCTCTTAAGCTGCTATATAGTTTCTTCTTCCATTTGGGTGGAGGCTGACTCCTCCATAATGTCGTGACATTCATTTTTCGAATCCTGATGGAAATCCCGACTGCTCGCTTCATGACCTCCAACTTGTGAGTTTGTTATTCTGGATTTGCCTCCAGCTTTTCTAGATAGGCATCCAACATGGCCTTCATCTCTTCTTGGTTGACATCGATCCAGGAGGCAAGAGAACCCACCTGGGCTTTCATCTCCTCTTGTCTGTCCTCCTTTTTTTTCTAGATTAGCGTTCATCTTTCCTTGAACGGTTTTTATTTCAGCCCCTATTGTGGCTTCCATTTCTTTTTGGTTGGTTTCCATCGTTTCTTGAGTTGAGTCCATATTTTCTCGAATGGTATTCTTTTCTGCCAGCAGGCGTTACATCTTCATAGTGTGGTGATACAACTACACAATGCAATCTTCAATCTAATAATGCAATCAATTCTATCCCATTTCAAAACAATTGTTACCTGTATGAGTGACTATAGATGGGGTTTCGATTGGTAATTGGATTTGCCGAACTCTTACAGAACTTAACTACAAACAAGGCCGCGCCATAGCTCAAGCGGTTAGTCTCTGGCTTCCCATCATGGCCGCCCGGGTTTGATCCCGGGTCTGGTCAAGTGGGATTTGTGGTGGACAAAGTGACGCTGGGGCAGGTTGTCTCCAAGTACTTCGGTTTCTTCATTCCACCAATTGCTCCACACTCACCTTCACCTATCATCTGGGGCTGGTACAATAGGCCAGAAGTGGCCGCAGTACAAGGAACTTAGTCCACCCCACTAGCAATAAAAAAACTACAAACAACTAGAGCATTATTGCTAATTCACACATTCGGCAATTCACTAAAGCACGCACTAAGTTTTCTCAGTCTGGTGTATCTTCACCAGTTGTCACCTGGTAACGACTCCCAAGGCAGTAGCTTCCACAGGTTCCGTGTTTATGTCCTTACTGGCTGCGACTGTCTCACAGCAATTAACTCTAGATTTATAATGATTATAACAACTCGGCATGGACTGCACAGAAAACACCTCTGCCACCAGTTCCATTGTTGCATCACAGAGCTGTTGCATGGACCACATAGAGAACACCGCTACCTAGTTACTTCACTGGTGCATTTTAGGAAACTGTTGCAGCCATTACCTAGCAACGGCCATTGTTTACAGAGTCATTAATGGGCCTACATGCTACAATATTGTGGCACATAGACCTGTTGCTAAGCAGTGACTCTGTAAACAGCGGCTGTTGCTAGGTGATGCCCGCAGCATACACTCACACAACAACAGAAGAGCTGTTTTCTATGTGGTCCATGCCAAGATGTTATAACAGAGAGGTTTTGAGCTTAGTCAGTAGGGTTACAACCGTGTGGAGGCGGGGTTGAATATCTCCATCATGATCTTGTGAGTCGTAGGAGGCGATGAAAAGGGAAGGATCAAATCTGAGACAGTAAAATATGGTCACAAGCCCCAAGGGACTCGGACCTGAGAGAGACTGTACTGGTGAAGGACTAGCAGCAAGTACAAAAGACAGACCCATTCTCTCGTCAGAGAGGGCACCCCAGAAGAACAAGACTGTAACTATCAAAGGGTAATAAATATCTGGTCATGAGCCCCAGGAGGGGGCTAGACACCAAGACTTACTGACTGATTGGCCATCAGCCGCAATGTGAGTTCGACTTTGACTTAGTCAGCTGAGAGTGAATTCTGTACAGGAGTCTGCAAAGAGAGGACTTGAGCTGAAGGCCAAAGAATAGCCATTGTTGGAGCTGTTATCAGGAAGCATCTAGTAACAGACTGGGAACACAATATTACATGCTTTAATGAACTGTAAAGTGTGGAAATAGCGATATTGTTATAGTTATCTGTAGTTACAACCTGTAAATATCCAATAAATCCATTCACCAACCCAAACCCTCTCTATAGTTACACAAACATCTTACAATATCTTGACACACAAGAAGCATATAGTGCACTCAGAATTCATAGAAAGTATTGTTATGTTAGAAGAAAACTCTTGGTAATAGACACATATATCTCAGGTATCACTCATGCGATGAAGTGATTTTTAGAATTCAATTTGTTCTTTCTGTTTGAAGAACACTCTAACATCTGATATAAAAATTGATTTTTTTCAAATTCTGCAATCATGAATATTACTTATACCCTATGAATAAGAACACTGTAGTTAAAACACTGAAGGCCCTTGGTGTTTGAAACAAGAATGATTATTTTAATCAATCTTATCTTATTTATATGGAAAATTCCCCCAAAATCTACATATCTCCTTTTCCTCTCATTTCCAGCTACTGTGATTATGAGAATGTTTGCAAAATATATTTAAAATTGTTAATAAGAAATTTATCAGGAACTCTATACATTATTATATACTCACAAATGAGAGAGATGGTTGAGAAAAAAAGAGCACTTACAGGGCAAGGACCCATGAAAAGAATGAGAGAAAGGTAACACAAAATTACGTTTTTGTCTAAAAGGTGTTCTCACTCTCACCCATATCATTTCAAAATGAAATGATAAAGATATCACAATCCAGCTGACTCTACCCCAAGGTAAACATTCAAAACAACAGATATTAGTATATATCTAACATAATAAATACCTCTACCAGATTTTTGCTTGAATTAAAATGAATTTGTTATATTAAAGGGAGCCTGTTGACCACAGCACACCCACACGCCAGCATGCTCAGCAAGTGACACGTGTTGTCCAGCAGCGAACCTACACAGATGTGGGGGGCACCAGTCCCTCTCCAGGTCGTTACCAGAACGAGCCACCTTCAAGCCCTCGGCTCCAACCAAAGCGTTCTTCGTCTACACAACGTGAACTCATGTATGGCACTGTTGATACTCAGCATCGCCCTGCCCGCTCTCCCTCCCCCATGAGACACCCTGATCCTTCTCCTAGGGTAGCCCATCGATCTGTGGTACAGAAGGATACTTACTATGAATCAAAGGGTAGCAGCACCCCAAAACAAGAGCGCTATCGAGACAAATCACCAACAAACCGTCGTCTGCAAAAGGAGCTGTACTATGAGACCTCTAAATCTTCCACACCAATTCCCCCATCTCCACAACATGATCGCTATAGAGAGACCTCTCCCCCATCACAGAGAAGAGGAACTTCACCAGTTAGGCCTCTAAATCAGAGCCCACCTGATCTATACACAGGCCAGCCAGCTGGGTCATCCAGCAGGATCACAACTGTTCGTACATATAATTACAACAATACTGGAAATTCTGGTCCTTCACCAGTGCCTCCTGTATCACATTCTACTGCACCACTGCCATGCCCTACTCCAAGATATACCGACCACAGCACTCAAGTTGTAGAGCTGACTCCATCACCTTCACCTGTCATCAACTATAGTCCAGCCCCACAAACCTCATCAGGAACAAAGGTTACCACCACAGTAAGAACATATACATATGAGCATCCTGGTCAGCCAGGAATAAATCATACATATCCACCTGGAACAAATCAGTCATATCAAACAGGAACAGCCCCACAATATCTGCCGGGAACAAACCAACCACACCCACCTGGAACAGTCCAATCATATTCTGAAAATTACAGCCCTACAGAGCATCCCAGTGAGCGCACATTGACATACCAAGTGTCACCCCGAGAGAAGGAGCCCCTGACTGAACCACCCCCAACTGTCATCACCTACAAATATTCCAGCCACTCATCACACAGTACCAGCTCCAAGTTTCCAACACAACCAGAGGAACAGCAACCCTTATTGCCACGACCCTTCCCCACCCCTTCACCCACGCCAGCACCCAATACCAACAGCCAGCCACCGAAGAGACTAGATGACCTCATGGCCTCCTTCTCAGACACTGAGGTAAGTGACAATTTTATAATATTGTGTGGGAACCCAAACATACTAACACCCAGCTTCGTCTGTCTAACAGACAGCATTCAACTTCTGCTCAAGCCAAGTCAATGTCACATTCAAAGTCAAAGTCACATTGCAACTGACGGTCAGTCACTCTGTCTATCTTGGTGTCGAGCCCCAGCTGGGGCTCATGACCAGATGTTTTCTTCTTTGTGAAAGTTGCTATGTCACATTGCGGCCAGCACTCGATGTCCAGCCCGCCTGTAGGTCATCACGTGTGCTAGCCAATCAGTGCTCACAATCGTAACTGCAACTTTAGCTCCACCCAACAATCATGGTATAAAAGATGGAGCTCAAAGCTCGTTATTATCAGTTCTTCGATCCTCCTCACTATGACAAAGACAGCTAACGCAGCTACTCTGACATCATGAAGCAGCAGCAGCTCTCCAGCAATTGCACCGAGACAACGACTCTGTCATCTCTCGCACCATAGGCAGCTGTTCCTACTGGCACACGCAGCACCACATCACTGGCCAGCCAGACCAGCTGAACGGCCGTAAAGACCTGGTCTGCTACAAAGCAGCAAACGCTACTAGTGCAAGCATGACCGAACAAACGGCCCTTTTCAGGGCCCGCAAACTTTTTACGCGGTTGCCTATTAGACCATCAACATCCCACAATTGTTTTATCATTGTTATGTGGCACAAAGTAATGCCACATTGTGTGGGAAGAGAAGAAGAAATGCAGTACATTTTAAATACTGTCACATATTTGGGGTTGGCATGTCTAATAATAATGGGTTTTGGATTTGATGATTAGAGTTACTGGCACTTCTTACAAGTACAGTCAATTATGACAGCTCACAAACAATGACTGTCTATGATTCGCTCCATTCCTTACTGCACTACAAGTGTCTACAGCAACAAATGACAAATGACTACTCACATTGAACTCCCGCTGAATGCTGTATAAAGAAAATCTTACGAATGAATCATGACTCCTTTATAATATGCAGGCAGTCAGAATATAAGTCGCCATAACAAAATAGTTTGCTCATTTTGTTATTTGTTTTGTTCATTGCTACAAAATGTAGCAGCCTGCTACTAACCAACAGAGGTCCTATGTTGACTGCGTCACCCCAAGAATGTGTTTACTAAGCGTTTTCTGGAAATGGACTATTCTGGCTTTCAGGTATCACGTCACAATATAAATAAGTTATATTGTAGCATGTTCTTCTATAGACAAGAATCTAATAATGTAACCCGAGCATGCCCATCTAGATATTATTATTTATTTTCTGTCCAAATATTCATAATGATAATTAAAAATGTCTAGGAATCTCTACTTTTGAACAGTGTGTGCATTAGTTGGCATTAGGATACCTGCTACATTTATAATTTGCCATAAAAATATCCCTGTTAGGTTTATGTTGACAGCAGTGAAATTTGATTAGTAATTATTTATTATAATGTTGTATTTTAGCGTCCTGTTGCACTGATTTTCATCCATGATATGTATACAGTGGCACCCACAAGACACGGTTTACACAGAATATAAGAAAAACGACCCCATAGTGGAAGAACCACACGCAAGTTTTAATTAAGACACATAAGATGAATAATCTTAACAAGTTTTAGTGTGTGTAAATTTATTATAGTTGACAAATACGCACTTTTAAAATACTTTTATAAAGACATATAAAGGCAAGCAATGCAACAGATTAGCCTAATTAGGGCACCTGATGATGGCACTATATTGCCGAAACATGTCGTGAAGTAACAGGTGAAATTGAGTGCACTACAAGACGGCCACTGTATACATATCATGGATTATTTATTATATTAATCTATGTTATGTGACTGGCTGATTTTAATAAATTATTACATACTATATTGCAATATGTCAAGTTATGCAATATTTAGTATTATATGATCAAAATAATACACAATCCTCTGTCATTTTGTGCCTTTTAATTCTTATGGAAATTTATAATATGTTTATTCAGTTTTACTGAATGTTATTTATTTCGAAAGATAATGTCACTTGTATGAGTGTGACTGTAGATGGGGTTTGCATTAGTAATGAAATTTATTGAACTCTTATACAACTCATACTATACTTCACAAATCACTATAGGACACATTAGGTCTTCTCAGCATGTTACAGTATTCACTAGCCATCGCTTCGTAGTGGCTTCCAATGGCAGTCATTTCCTTTCCTCTGAGTTTCTGAACTGTCCCTGGCATCATCTACTGGCTTCTAACAGCAACAGCTCACAATAGACTTCAGCAGTTCTCCAACTCACTGCTTGTATCTTGTCCTGCTTATAACATCTTGGCATGGTCTGCATAGAAAATACCGTTCCTCTGTTGCAGCGCAATCACTGCCGTGGAAACATGATTGTTTGCAGAGCCACTACTCAGCAACGGCTATTGTATAGTTATTTATTTCGTGGTAGTTGCCTAGAAACAGGTCTGCATGTCACAATGTGAATGATATGTAAAGTACAATTTTATTATATTTCAAATATGGAATGAGTTTAAGGAAACCTGCTTGAAGGTGAACTATGTGCCAAAACAAAACAAATAGAAACTACATAAACTGCATTCATATGTACAAATGGACTAAAAGACGAATTTCAGCAAGAGTTACAGCATGTACAGGTAAGTACTTCTTTAAAAACAATTACCCAATCTGAAACTGTTCCTTAATTCTGTCGCTTGGTAAGTTTACTCAGACTTTTAAATAATGTAACAGTCTTTGGGTTAAAAATGGAACATTGATGTACTGAATCCTGGAACCATAAAATTACATATTTATGTCACCTTTCTTAATTATAAGGAGACATGTTAGTTTCAATCATGTTTTCTTGCACTTATGATTGCAGTTTCTTGAATGGGTGAATTTGTTTGTTATTTTACAATGTTCATTTGATAGAAAATATCACATAGTACATGAAGTGGCAGGATGGTTATGCATGATGAAATGAAAGAGATCATAAAGGAAGCAATAATTTACTTAGGCTTCTAATCTGGTGTTTGCCAGGAGGTTTGAGAAACATAAAATTCTGTCGGGATAGTTGATGCCCATTACAAATCATGCACATGACCACTTTAGTTGACCTACTTTATATCTTGATTAGAGATTTTAAGACATACTTTTCTGTTTCTTATTCTACCTTTCAAAATAGTTGTAAATAATTATGTGAGATCCAACATGTAAATATTCATAAACTGTTTTTAAATCTCTATTTCATGAGAATAACTTCACATGTGTGATTCCTAAGATTAGTAACAGCCCATCCTCTCCTGAATAAGAAGAGAATCCACAAGGTTAAAAAAAAATGTAAATATTTAAATAAAGTGACAAAGCAAAAATATAAAATACAATGCAATTAACATAACTAAATTTGCCTTAGAGTACAAGACAGAGTTCTTTCATAACCTATATTACTAGACAATGTTGCAACCCAAAAGATCACAATATAAATGTTAATTGTCATGGAAACTTCAAATCTTACATGTGATACTCTAAAGTCTAATTTATGAAGTCCATTAGAAAGTGTATGTACTGTATAAGCAGACAGGTTCATAAACTGTTTCTATTCCAGTCAACACATCATTATCCCACCGAGAAACATACACATCAGTCACCACCACCCTATGCAGAAGGCATTAATGGAGTTGCCGTAGTGACACCTACACCAAATGCTACTGCTAAAACTGCTTTGTCAGCTGCAGTCACAACATCAGCAGCAGTAAAAGATAGGCCAAAAACAAAGAACATCACTGGGCCACCAGTCTACTACCCACCTGGGGTGGAGTTATTTGCCAAGAAAGAGGAATCTTTGGCAACACAGGTCAGCACTAATACTAACATGAAAAGCATAAATTATAGGGAACTTATTTCTTAAGATATATACAGGACTGGAAATGGATGTAAATCTTATAGTAGCCATCTGTTTAGTTCCAGAATGCTTCATTTTAGGGAAGCACTTTTCAGTGTCTTAAAATATCATAAATATTTTTCCTGGCGACAAAACATATAGGAATGGATTTCATAAACCTGCAGTGTAATAATTTCCTTTTAATGTGTGTTGATCACTCCCCTGGGGCTTTTCTGCCGATCTGGGGGCATCTACCTAGTTCTGCTGTGTAAAGTCTGCCTTGTTCTGGAAAGCTATTTCCACTTCTGGGTAAAATGTTCATTTATCTTCATCTCATTGCTGTACATAGTGCAATACTTTTAAGAGTGATTTAATCAAGAAGGGTGAGATGGAAAACCACAAGGGAAATTATCACTCAGGAGACTTCAGTATAGAAGGGAGAATAATATTAAAAGACTGTAAAACGAACTATTTGATGTTCCCATCAAAGTAACTTTCAATAATTCACTATACAAAGTATATTATAAAATTTTCAAAATCAGTTACAGGTACTGTATCTAAGAAATCTTGACTCCATTACCTCCCAGTTCTTCCCCCATATGAAGTCTTTGTGTTCCATCAGCAATTCTGAGAAGTGTGTACCAGGGTATTGATAAATAGTGATTATGTCATTAGTGATCATTATGTGATGAAATTAACTTAACTAAGTAATTAAATGCAAATAACCAGTGCCATTTGGCCACCTTCATGCTTGTCAAACAGTGAATAACTACTTAGCCGATTAATTGCCCAAACAAATATCTCCATGACAGGGCTTTCTTTGTGTAGCTTACTGTTGCTCAATTTGTCAGTAATTTCTTGGTTTGTATGGAATTTTAAAGCTTTATAAGTTCACCACTGAACTCTATGTTCAACCAATTCACACCAAATAGCATTCTCACTACTCATTTCTCTAAGATCCATTTTAATATTGTTCAGCCACCTATGTCTACCCCTCAACAGTGAGGTTTTCCAACAGGCAATTTGTACAAATTCCTTGTTTGACCTACATTTGCTATGTGTTCCACCTATATCATCCTCACAATAAAATATGAATAGTTCAAATAAATGAGATCCTTATTATGCATTTTTCTCCATTCTCCATTTCCTCTGTATCAGGCCCAAATATGCTTCTCAGCACGTTGCTGTACTTCAGTCTGTTAACTACGAGTGTAATGCCATTCAGTGGGTAGTCTCAGTATTTGTCATGAAAGTTCTTTTACACTTAACTTCCCTTCCTTTCAGTCCTACACACTATCAAATCATGCCCTGAGGCTGACATTTAATGCCATTTCACATGAATAACACAGAACAGTCAATGTAACATTCTCCTTCATACAGTACTAGCAAATCTGCTTGACAGCCTAGGAGTAATACACACATATATGAAAATAAAAATTATAATAAATAATCTACCAATGGTGGAAGATAATTTGGGGTTTCCCATGTATCCTACCAACATCAGGAGATATTCTGGGTTTTCCACCATATCCTAGTAATGGCAAATGGTTTGGATTTTTTTTCAGTATCTTATGAACAGCACAAAGTAGTTTGATTTCCCCCTTACTCTATCATCGTTGTCAAGATCCCATGCCTTTCCTACAGAAGATGTAATGGAGAAATAATTTGGGTTTGACTTGAATCCGTCATGTTTTCAAATGACTGAGACCTCCTAAGGGAGGTCTTCTATCATCATGCCAGATTTGGCCAAATAGATACAATGGTGTAGAAATGCATGAAGAACATGTAGAGGTTTATTTAAAAAACTTCACATACTACCAATCCCATGTGTATATTTGCTCTCATTAAGGACATTTATTGTTAATAATTTGGATAAGTTTCAAACCAATAACTCTGTATATGTCACTGGTACAAGAAGGAATGACCACCTTCATATACCTACAACACATTTATCATCCTACCAGAGAGGGTTGTATTTTTCAGGCGTCAAGCTATTTAACACTTTGCCATCAATTATCTCAGCTTTAAAATATGATAAAAATCAATTTAGGTTTGTTTTAAGAAATTATTTGCAGAGTAACTCATTTTACTCTATTGATGAATTTGTCACGCATGCAAGGGGCTCAAATGTTAAGAGTTAATAAATGGTCTGTGTGCTTGTATTATACGTTGTTGAGACTTGCTTGTTGTGTGGCAGTATGTATGATGTCTGTTTTTGTTATGAATTTGAATATGTTACAATGAACCTGTACTGATGATATGGCTTGCCAACGTATGTGGAATGGCAAGGTGCGCAATTGCGCAGCATAGAGTTGTTATGGTTGGAAATATGAGGGATTTCGTTCAGGGTCGAATGTGGCAGTGGTTTTTCCACGGCCTATGTGTGTTGTCTTGATAAACTTGTGCTCTCTGCGTGAGGCCTGATTATATACTTTATTGGATCAAGGATGTATGATGTGTAGTCATCATGTGAGGTGATTGGCTACATGAAGTGAAAATAAATGTAAACAAACAGATACATGCTCTTCTTTATATATATTCTTTACGCATTTCCACACCATTTTACCTATTTTGACCTAACAGAAGATACCATGTTCTAATATAATCATTATTAAAAGCTGTGCAAAATGTTTTATTTCTTGTTGCAGGGAAAGAAGGAAAGTGGTCGATATGAGTATGAATATGGAAAAGATAGCAAGAGCAAGAGTAGTAGCTCAGGTGGGGCAGCTGTTGTGCCTGTTTGCTTGCCTCTGTGCTGTGCCATGCCTTGTGTCATCATGTGAGCTCTATGATATAAGCACAGAAATATAATGAATCTGGCATCATACACAATATGTGCAATAATAATCTTAACACATATGTTAACCTTGTATTACCAGAAGACAGCCTCAACCTTGCAGCAAATAAGGAAATATGTACTTTGTATTTATACGGAACACTAAATTTGTGATTGGATTCTCTGGAATCAATGTCCAGGTTTTCTGAAAATCATTCTTCACAAGTTCAGCCATATAATGCAATAAGGCCTGCATGAGACAAGATGTGCATCATCAGTAGGATGATATACTTGGTTTGTTATCATCATACATGGTCAAAGTTGAGCTCAGGCCCTCTGAAACAAAGTATTTTATACCTGGACACATATATTTAAGTGCTCCGACACCAACAGATTTTGAGCATCTGATGATGGAGTTTCTGAAATATCAGAATTTAATTTAACAGTGATAGGCCTTACAGTTAAAATGGTAAAAAGGAAGTTTCCTTTGTGCTTAATGAAGCATATGTGGGGCAGTGGAGGTACAGATCCACATATTCTCAACCTTGGTGCTAGATTAAAGTCAGTAGTCAGCTTCATGCTCTCACCATTTTACCCCTGGGCAAAGAAGCCCCACCCCATATCCAGTGGACAGGAGGGTGGGTGGGCCCCAGAGCGGATGTATTTTTCTAAAAATCTCTGCTCCTGCCAAGCACTGAACCTTGGTCATCCAGCACATAGCCTAGTCATTAAGTGATTGAGCCTTACTGGCTTCAGTCCAGCACTTCACAGAGTAATTTGCTGTGTCCTTACCTCACTATTAAATACTTTGATCCATTTTCTCAATCCTTTTCTTCATCTGATGATGCAGCTTGAAGCTCAAGGCTATGTAATGGTCACAAGTAAAATGTTCTAATTTGAAGCAAACTGATCTTCTAGGTGAGATTTGAGGCTTTCACGGCGGTGACTATGAAGAAAGCAGTCTTCTGGGATTTGGCACCGTGTATATGTGGTGTTAACCGACGTTTCGGAGGAACGTATCGCCCCCATCTTCAGGGTTGAAGAAGTATAAGTAAATCTGCAAGCGACAACATCGTGAGACACGGTCAAGCAGTCTGCTTGACCGTGTCTCACGGTGTTGTCGCTTGCAGATTTACTTATACTTCTTCAACCCTGAAGATGGGGGCGATACGTTCCTCCGAAACGTCGGTTAACACCACATATACACGGTGCCAAATCCCAGAAGACTGCTTTCTTCATGATCTTCTAGGTATTAAATAAATCCATGTTCACTTTTATCATGTATTTGATGTTTCACAAATTATCAACAATATTGCTATTGAACATATGCCAGAAATGAATACTTTACATGTTTGCTCTCTCATAATTACCATTTCTGGAATGCTAACTAGTCTTGCGCGGGGAAGTTTCTAAAATGAAACTATACTATGCTTCAGTTGATCCCACTTCAAAGGATATGGAAAATGCATTATGCATTGAAACTAAACTCATAATTCTCATTAACTGACAATGTATGAATGATATTTAACCCTTGTATGAAATCCTATGAAATTTTGTGTGCTTATATATTTACATTTGTAATGCATGTTTTATGCAAAAAAGTTGCAGAACATTATTTGTAAAATTGTCCAAGTCTTTACCAGTCATACATTTAGACTATATGTATTTGATCAACCAAAATCAAATTACATTTATTAATTAACACATTACAGTTCATGAAATCATTTACACACACTTAAATAAGAAATCGGATAAATGCTTCAGAAATTTATAAAATATCAAACTGGACAGAAAGGATTCTTAAAAATACAGTATTCTTTCTTGTAATATTAGTGTCCAGCCAAATGGGTATAACAGTGGGAAAGGTGATGAGTTTAACATACTAAGATTCCAGAAGTGTTTTATATATATAATACAGAGAAGGGGCCTGGTGTTCTGGGGTGAGGATTCCTATGATCAAGGCGTTAACTGTGACATCTAGATAGATTCAGCATAAGTTATGGGGATTACAAGGTTCTGATGTGGTTTGGGGCCCATGCTGAACTCTGCTGGCCACCATCAACTGTCACATCATTTTGGAGTAACGGCATCTGCCCATTTGTCACGTTCTTTTCCACAGATGATCAACATGGGAAGAAATGGACCCCCTTCTCCTGCTACAATGAGAATCTATAATTATATGCCAGAATTTCTTCCCCTAGATGGTAAAAACTCCCAGCATTTCTGATACACGTATATTGTAACAGTACTAAGAATATCAGGGATAGACAGCTGCACCAGTCATATATTTTCAGCATTGGAAATGCTTCTGACAAAAAATAAACTCAGTTCTGAAAGAGTGACACATATTTTCTTATATTAGCTGATACTATTATGAAAGGAAGTAAAATGGAAACACGTGAATATAAACAGTGATTTTATATGAATAAATTGGATAGGTTTGCGAAATGATTGTACTGAATTATAGAGAAGTGCAAGGTTGTGACAATCTCAAAAAACAGACGCTACAAGATAAAAATAATTTAATCAGTGTGATGTACCTATGGGACATATGGAAGGAAAGGCAGAGAGGCATAAAGGACAAAGGTCCTACAGCAGTAATTCTTAACTCTGGCCACTTTCATTAATAATACAGAAATGTCACAAGTAACTACATCGAAGGTGTTTCTAATTTTTGCTCAAATTTGGGGATTTTATTTCTGTGCATACTAGGAACATATTTAACGCTTATATATTATTTATTCACACCCAATAATCCAAACTCAATTCCTGAATAAAACTGTAATTTGAAGCACTATGTAGCCCTATAAAATGTTCCTCTTGTTTGTGAATATCGGCATTAGAATATCTGTAACACTGCATCATGGATTCCTTCTCTACAGAGCACAGAACTTCAGAAGCTAAATCAGAACCCATGCAGGGTTACAAGATGCCTGCCTTGCTTGCCTTGGACACATTATTCCAGTTATCACTACATGAGACTACCATGCTTCTACACTCTTGTCCACTGATCAGAGGTGCATGGTAATACTTTCAGTGAAAAAATGTATCCTCTTTCTAACCTGACAAGTAGTGTTACATAGTCCCTCATGCCTTGTTACTACTTAGTGAATTGCTGAAATTGTTTATTCCTGTTCCACCATAAACTTGGTACTAATGAACCAAGTCCAGCCAAAATGGCGGAAAATTGTGTGTGTGTTCATGTGCACGTATGCACATGTTCCTGCATGAGTAAGTTTAGAAGCATTTCAGCTTCCAAGGCCATTTAAAACCAACAAACTTTGTAATTTTTAGATATAAAACGGAAATATTCCATGATGTTGATCCTGCACTGTCATAGAACGCATGTAAAATTATGAGAACAAATTTTTTATGATGGTTATAAAACCGCTTATAGTATTTTGCATAAGGGAAACCAAAATCACATAATTTCAAAGTAAAACGTAATCAGGAGTTTTACAGCAGAAATGAGTCTGTACCATGCAGGAAAATATTCTAACATTAGCCCAAAAGTAATATTTGCTACTCAATACACACACATGCACCCACTCACACATGCACACACGCAGTTCCTCACTACTGGAGAAGCTATTACAGATACTGTTTTCATCCCAAGACAGCCGTCCATTATTCATATAGTTGCTAGAATTTAGGCATCTATTCAATACAATGTGCACTTCTTTTGTCTCAACTTAGCATTAAGAATTTAATTTCTTACATTTTTCTGTGAAATTTGTCAAAATAAGAATCATTGTTATATAGCACTCCATACATTTGGCAGAAGACTTTAATCTGTAATACATGGTGTGCTTTCTAGCACAGCATTTCAGCCATAACAGTAAGGGGTTTAAAAACAACTACTTTAATTTAGAATACCATATGTATTTGAATATAATTAATTATTTTCAAGCCAGTATCTGCCATACAGCCTCCACCATAAGAAGCTATGATGAATGCTTGAAAAAACAAATGTTGGGGCAATCTTAAAACATGAAGAGAAAGAACAGTATACCGTCCATGAATACTAGATAACTCAGAACTGAGTGTATAAGCACTTTAATTCTTCACATTACAGAAATAATTCTCACTATGTATATAAAAATGATTTTTCTACAAATAAAGTATGTTCTCTAATCTCATATCCAGTAATTATTTTCCTCTTCATACTAGTTTGTTTAAAGTTATTATAGTCAACTTCCAATTTAAGATTCATGTATTTAAGGTGTACACATTTATGGCTAATTTGCTTTGTTCCCAGACATAGATCCATATAAATAACACATAAGTCTGTTTTTCCAAACATGACAAATTTTCAGAATGTGTCGAGGGTACTGCTGGCTAGTAATGAGTCTGGTCAACTGTTACACAATATTTTGATTATGGTGATTATGCTCAGGGCAGGATGGGATATTCAAGATTAATGTTATATGGAGAAAACTGGATAATGAGGAACTCCATGATCCCTACTCTTACACTAATACTATCAGTGTCATTAAATAAAGTAGAAGAAGATTGGTGAGGCATGTAGCACTAACTTTGTGGTATATGGTATCCATGAGCAGCTGCCAGTTATTCATCTGAGGAAGAAATTCCATACTGAGGTTTCTGTCCACTGCTGTCACGGCAAACACACAGTGGCGAGTTCGCGAACTTTATTGTCAGACCTCATATAGTCCGACCGCGATTTAATGGTCCCTAGACCAGCATGCGTGTGACGTGGCAACCTCCAAATTGGGCAGAAGAAGGCAGCACTATTATCTGATCTTACTGCAAATGCAGCCAGGAGCAACGGTAGTGGACAAGTGTTTTCAAATAAAACACAACTGACAACGCGCCTGAGCAGCACGTGACTGTCGGCAATTTCGTGGTCCTGTCGTAAGGCGGCCAGCTGCTGCAAAGGATCGTGAAGACAGTCACTGCTATCGACCGTAAGATGTGTCGCAGGAATTTTATTACAGGATTACCATCCCTGCTACAGTACCGCAGTTTGGAAATCCCGGAGGGACTTAATGAATTATTCTGCGTATTTCGAATCGGGTAATGCTTCCTACCATTCAGTCCAGAACATTTTGTCTTCCCGTCTAATGTCCAGAAACATAAGAATTAGAATATAGTACAAAACTATAATTTTGCCTGTGGATCTGTATGGGTGTGAAACTTGGTCTCTAACATTAAGGAAGGAACATAGACTGAGGGTGTTGGAGAACAGGGTGATGAGGAGAATATTTTGTCAGAAGAGAGATGAAGTGACAGGAAGTTGGAGAAAACTGCATAATGAGGAGCTTCATAACTTGTACTCTTCTCCAAGTATAATTAGAATGATCAAGTCAAGGAGGATTAGGTAAGTAGGGCATATAGCACGAATGGGGGAACCGAGGAATGCATATAGGATATTAGTGGGAAAGACAGAAGGAAAGAGACCACTGGGAAGACCAAGGCGTAGGTGGTTGGACAATATTAAAATGGATCTTAGAGAGATAGGATGGGATGGTATGGATTGGATTGATCTGGCTCTGGATAGGGACCAGTGGAGGGCTCTTGTGAACACGGCAATGAACCTTCTGGTTCCATCAAATGCTGGGAAATTCTTGAGTAGCTGCAAAATTGGCGTCTCCTCAAGAAGGGCTCAGCTCCATGAGTAAGTAAGTAAGTAAGTAAGTAAGTAATCTGTAAAACAAGGCAAATCACTATCGGCGCAGGACGGTAAGTTTGTAAACATCCGTCCACAAATGGCGGGGAAAGCCAGAAAATCTAGCACTGCATTCTTGCACAAACAGGCACCAATTACTACCGCTTGATGATGACAGGTTCTTAGTTCAGGGGCATGAACGCCACCTGAATTCTTCAAGGGCAGAAGATTCAGTTTCCAATGGAAGACAGCCAGAAAATGTACTTACAAACTTAAATTTAATCCTCATTTTACTCGCCCTAGGGAATGCAGGATATAGAAATACATTTTTAGAAATAAGTTCTATGTTTCGTTTTAACAGTTAGTAGTTTCTCTTATGCATTTTTTCAATTGTAATGCTTTCTCTAAAACACTCCAGGAAAGGGGGTGGAGAGGTCGGTAAACTCCTCCCCTGCCAGGACCCATGTTCGGGGCTACGCCTTCGAAAGAGCTAATTTATAATTTCTGCCAGCAAGAACCCCTGAAATTGAAATATTAGTTAGCCTGTATTCTCAAGACAGAGAGGGAACCGGTACAGTCAATTACTGCCACGCCCAGGTACTGGGTCTGTGATGAAGAACCAAATGGCACTTGCTTCACTTGTACCCAAAGAATTCGTAGCTGAAATGTGTGGCTAACTGTAATCCAATTTTGGGTAGGCCTATATCTCCTTTACGATATTTTCAATTTTATGCAGTACACTACCAGCCTTGATGTTTCCTGTCGATAAACTCTACTGTTGACAAAGATAAACAACACTACGGATACTACAATTTATTCCGTGACAAAGATAATGTACAGCATAAAGCTTAGGCGTACACGTATGAAAGCATAAATTAATTTTCTTCAATGCAGAAAACAAAATAAAAAACAAACTCCGTGGCTTTAATCCGCAAGCGAACTATATCGACCAAGCGACCATCACTTGTCGGCGAAGTTAGTGCCAATTTTAGCGGACAGAGGGTGTCGCGCGGTCAGCGCAACGAAATCCTAATTTTTAGTAGATTCAAACAGTTGGGAAGGAACTGTGTGTTCAGGTGTTACACGTCAACCAACCGCCCAATGATCCAGCTGCTGGAAGAATTATCAGCTCTAGTAGACAATCCAGGAAGGAGAAAATGAACAACCACTTATCAACGAATATTACAAAGCGGTAACTCCTCTCGGTCATTTAATACAATCAGGGAACTGTCCCCCGGCCTTCGACTACACATACGGAAGCATCTTCTACGAGCTCAGGGTATTTTTCGATGAGGGCAGACAAATAAAGGAAGCAGAAGATCACAACAAGGAATTCAACAAGATTTTCCAAGAAAGATGAGAACCAGCAAATGTTTCGCCAAGGACGGCTCAAAAATGGAGGACAAACCATTCGTAGGATTCGCATCGATAGATATAAAAGATGGTCGTAACATGAAATTTTGGATATCTAAGATAGCGTCAATATTCACGGCGGAAGCATTAGCAATTGCCGAAACACTAGATATCACTGAAAAAATAGAATCTGAGCAAAACTTCATGATCTTCTCGGACTTGGCAAGAATGTTAAAAAGCATTAGTATCCCCACTATAATAAGCAACACATCGCACATCACACACATGCTAAAAGGTAAAATAGAGAGACTGGAATCGCGAGGAAAAAAAAAATCCAATTTTCCTGGATCCCGGGTCACTGCGGAGTTGAAGTTAATGAGAGGGCCGACTTGGAGGCAAAGCAAGCAATCAAAGAAGGCAGAGATAGTCAATTACTGTTACCAGTAGCAGATCTTAAAACGCAGTGGAAAATGAAAGGCAAAGAAGAACTTCACAGTTTTTGTCAAAACACCAAACAGGACAGAGGAGAAAGCTACTTTGAGAGGTACTACAGGAAAGCTTCGTCTCCCTGGTTCCGACAGATAAAAATGAACCACCGCGCCTTCATGTCAATAAACCGTATGAGAGCGGGACACAACAATCTGAAAGCAAGCCTAAACAGATTTAACATTGTGACCACGGCCGAATGCGAATGTGGTGATGGGCTGCAAACGGAGGAAAGTATCTTCTGGGGCTGTAAACAGTACGAGAACCAAAGGGCCACAATGATGGACATCCTGTCTGAGAACAGCAATAAGAATTACCCAGAATCAGTTACAGAGCTCTTAAGACTAGAAGAAAAAAGATTTCTGCAAGGCGTCTACGAGTATTTCATCAACAATATTCCCATATTTATATAAAATAGACATGTAAGAAAAGTAAAAAGAAGTAATTGCACTGATTATTTACAGTATACACAGATTTAAGTCAAGATATATATTAACAGTCGAGGGACCACCGCTATTATAGAATAAGATGGTTATTAGAATGTGCTACAGAAGGCCGGATGGGCATTGCCTGGGCCTCTTTTGTATTTAAATTTTGTTCATACAATTATAACAAAAAAATCCCCACGGCCGTTAATTTCGGTTTTCTAGACCATAACACACCAAAATAATCAAATAAAAAACACACTTCTTGAAGAGGTCCATGTTTTAAAACTCACAGGCCTACGAAGTTGATCTCCTGTTCAATGAGTCGCTTTCGAGCAATTCGATATACTCGTAGTTACATTTGAATACAATATGAAATAGCGTTTATTACGGACTGATAAGGAACACCAAGAATTTCACAGTATCACTTTCAGTATAGAATATAAAATTGAACATAAATCCGTTTAGTCGGAGCATTTTTTTTTATTTCTAAAAGCATGTCTGCCCGTACTCTCATGCTCGGTTTAGGCTTAAAAGTCGAAACATACAATGCACCGGCAAATGTACAGTGCTTGGCAAGTTTGCGACTACTCTTTAACTGTTTGCCGGTACGCGCACCAGCTCAAGAAAGCATTCATTTTAATATTCTTGGAGACGAAAACACAAGTGCAGGCAGGCACGATTTCACTGTGAGTTTATTTTGTCCACTTACTGGGAACAATCATTACTATACAGTCAAGGAGATTAACTGGGCCATTTGATTCATAAGGAATCGGAGAAAACATACAAAGAATGCTCCATCTTGAATCAAACCTAATCATAGACAAAGGCATGAAAACTTATGAATATATTTCAATTTTTGGGCCCCAAAAAAAGAAAAGTACTCAGCATACGTTGAAAATACTGCAGTACATAAAATTTGCACATTCACTTCATTTAATAATGAAACACTTGATATTTGTTTTTCACTCTACATCATAGCAACGATGATCATGTCGAACGAACTTTAAACTTCCGTAATCTATGTGGAACGTATGAATACCATAAAATCAAAGCACTTCTGACATTCATTGGAATCTTTCGTACACAACACAATTAAAGACACTGATCGATATAAAATTGTTTTAGACATTGTACTTATACTACAAGCAAAACATAAAATTAAATGAAAATATAAAAAACAACAGACAGTAACTATAATCACAATACTGTCTTGTGATAACGTAAATAGATGCAAATCGATACTGTTTATTGTTGCTAGGCAACGAGGATTCTAGCCTTCGCCTGTCAAAATCTTAGGACAAGCCTCGAAGTTGATTTTCTTGAAAACACCACATAAACTGTGAGGTCTAGAGGTATCAATGCTTTTACGCTAGCGTTAAAAAAAAAGACATCGTGAATATAATTATATCGCTCTAGCCCACTAACACTGGAACTGGCTACATGATCATTGGGAAGGAGTTCAGAAAGAGTTTAAGGAGACCTATGCCCTCTGTCCCCAAGAGGGCTACACCTCGAGTAGTACCGGCGTTTACCATCCAGGCCTTACAGAAGGATGTCACCATCATACCTCCACCAAAAGCAGGGGCCTTCGTGGAAAGACCACGAAAAGCACCAACACAGTTCAGACGGTTCTACATACGAGGAGACTTCCCAATAGGGACGGAGTTTGATACTTACGGCAACAAGATAGCATGGAAGGTAAGAGATAGCCCACAAGATCTCCGGATCGAATCCCAGAACTGCCTTTCTAGATAAGTTATTATTTCTTTGGCACCTTCTGAATTCTGCATGTCGTGTTAAGGTCATATAGCCTGAACAGAGACGACAGAATGTAGCTGCGATAAAACGGGAAGGAAGCTACCGGAAACCTGCGAGCATAATTCTCACCCACATTTCGAAACCGATGCGTTACTACAACTTCCTCAATTCAGACAGGCCGCATCCGCCCTCTCTATCGATAACACCCATGGCTGGCGCGAGACCCCATGCCGCCCTAAATGACGAAAATTCGGCCCCCACCAACTTTCTCAAAACTTCTTCACACTTCTCCAGAACCACATATCAATGCAACCCATCACCGTATCTACGCCCTAAAAAACGAGCATAAAGCAACAATATGCAACACAGTGTGACGCACCAATTATAAAAAAAAGGTGCGTTTGAAAACGGCTCACATCAGTGAACTTTAATATAATACTTGTTTTGACATTCTATAAACATTTTATGACTCAGACATTTAAAATATTTTTAATACATACAAACAACAAACTTTCTTTTATTAATAGTATTTAACCAGCATATGTAAAATAAATTTGATATATTCAAATGGTGATTTCACATCTTATTTTAATACAATTATGGTTCATTTGTTTTTGTTACCAGTCAAATTTTCTTAATTGAGGAGTATGTTCAAAGGTGTTTCTTTTTACAAAATAGCATACACAGCTTCATATAAATCAGTTTAATTGATTCTCTGGAATTAAAACCAAAGTTCAAGAGCACTAACAAAAGAGTCCAGCATTAGAATGTATATTGAGCCTGCTCAATCCACTTCATACCATCACAACCTCTGAAAGAATGCTTCATTATCAACTGTATTTCCTTATGGGAAAAGAGTTGTTCCCTGAATCATCCACTGAACCAAATGAACGATTTTTATACCTTTCGTTCTCCTCCAGCCAAAGATTACAATATGACAAATGCACAAACTTCTTCAGTAGGAGCTACATTAATGCCACTTATATTAGGGTCCTGAAATTATGTACAGTAATAGATCTAAGCGCTGATAACAGTGGCCATGCTGTCTAATGCATGAACAGTCTTCGCCTGCATAAACACTGAGGTCGTGAGTTCGAATCCCATGCCAGGCATGAATGTTTGCATTTGTTCTTTGCATTTTTCTGCGTAGGTAGCAGCCTTGCAGTGGGCAGATCCCTCACCTAAGGAGTCCTACCAACTGTTTATATAATTAAGAAACTGTAAAACAAGAGGCAAAGGTTCGTCATTGACTGTACCACCCACATATTATTATAATTGTGGCATATTTGCTCAAAGCAAGAACCATGAAGCCAACAGAGACAGCTGTTGCTAGGGAACAACTATGCAAACATGCCCATTACTAGGCAAAATGTTTGTAAGCACACCACATTACCACATCTATTGCTAAGCGATGCATCCATCCAAAAATGAAGGAACTATAAAGAGAGGTGTTTTCTGTGAGGTCCATGCCTAGGCTACACAACAAGGACCAGCTGCCGTTACAAGAGAATTCTTAGACGGCAGTTAGAAGAGTAGGAGGTTGGTGTGAGATGACCACCATCCTGGGAGACAGTCAGTGAGTGAAGAGAGAGGGTCTGCAGGCAGAAAGTCAGTTGAGAGTTGCAGCTGAAGCTGGTAGCTGAGGCCAGGGACAGTTCAGGAACCCAGAGGAAGGGGGAGCATCTGCCAGTTGAAGCTGCTACCAAGCAGCAAAGTGAAGATCATGACTGAGAATGCTGATTTATGTGTGAGAGTGATCTGTAAAGTGTAATCATGAGTTGTTTGAGAGTTCAATAAATCTGACCATCCAAACTCCATCTATTGTCGCTCTAGCATGTGACATTATTATTAATAGATCTAACAATACGCAACTTTTGTTGGGGTAATAATGTTTGTAGAATGTAAAACAAAATGGTGGCTGCATGACAATATTTTGATTCAGTCTATTTTTCTGACCATCAACACGAGTCCAACATGATAGCCCTTGATCAAAGTTGGCATGTGTTAATTTATATGTTCTAAATAAGACAGTAAAATAACAAGATTTTTAGAACCAGAAGCTAGTGCAAGAGGAAAGCAGGCTTTGTACAAGTATGTTCTATACAGAACTCCTTGTTTCTAAGGCTGGATTTATTCTCAAAGCACCAGTAAATGTTGAACAAATTTATATTTAAGATGCTACCAAGAAAAGTAATTAAGCTTAGTTATTCTAGAGAGTAGAGTAGTTAGTTCTTCAAATTTATTAATTTATTTTCAGAACAAAGGATTAATTAATTCATTACCTTTTATATGATCTTTCTTTTAAAATTCTGTGTACATGTCTTTCTTATTGAAAAGCCTGACTGTCTTGGTTGTGCCTGTTCTTTCTTCATCCTTAAAAGATATAGAGATATAGAATAGTTTACATATAAAACCATCCATTACATACGAAATTTCTCTGTCAGGTAGAAATTGAGAAACTCGATTATCATCATTACCTTCCCATGTTCTTTGATGGCCTCTGCGAAACAGTACATCCATACAAGTTCTTTGCACAGCAAGGCATCCTAGACATGCTGCAGCATGGTGGTCCCAAGATTCTGCCTGTCATTCCACAGCTCATCATTCCTATCAAGAGTGAGTCTGGCTATCATACTCTGATTTTTAAGCAAAAAGATAAACACATAAGAACAAGTAACTCAAGAAAGAGAACTAGGACTCATATCATTATGCACATAGTAATTGAACCACTTGATTTATTTTGAACACTGTACCAAACTGCTGTTTAAAACAGTGTATCCATAGTAATTTTTTCCCCCTTAGATTACTGTCTTCTGGAATGTCATACCATGCATTCTGGTATACATTCAAAAGATGTTCTGAGGAAAATTGTCACCTTCAGCCTGGAGGCGGCATATTCCTCTGAAATATCAGTAAATATTTACCAAATTACATTGTGACATCCTAAAAGGTAGCAATCTTCATGGGCTCTGGTGTGAGAACCTTAAAATTCCTTGTTTTAATTCAGAAATTATCCATGGCAAGCTTTTACTTGATAACTGTTGGACTAGATACAATTTGATTCAATAGCTTGGAGGTGAACAATGCAGTCCAATAATTTTTATACTGTCCTTTTGTAATGAAGAAAGGTTAAACACTACTGTTACTAATTCAGTTGCTGAAGTTATCCCTTTAAACTAGCATCAGCATCAGAGTATATACATTTATATACATGTATATGTATATACATTTTCTAAATGATTTCTTTGCAAGTTTTCATACCTCATTGATCTTGATGTCTATTTATTCCAGAGATAATTGTATTTGAATAAATATACCTCACATTAAGAATTGTTTTATAACTTATAGACCTTATAAGTTATGAGTTATGTTGTCTTCCAGTCTCTCTGAATAATCAGACTTCTCTTTTTTAGGGAATTGATGAAGTTCAATCAAAACAACACTTCCAGCATCACATCAAGTTATGGGGATGGGAGAGATTGTGTTGAAGGAATAGTAATATTTCAATATTACAGACTATCATCTCCAATTCATAACATTCATTATCTGAATCAGATATGTGCTGACAGCAACTAAAGGGTATACTCGTACTTGAGTGTGCAATTTCAGAGCACCATTTTGTTTATCCCTGTGTAACAGATGCGCTCAACACCAGGAACCAGGAGATAGTGTGTACAACACTCAAAGTAATCCAAAGGCTGGTCATATCAACTGACATGGTAGGCGAGGCCTTGGTGCCTTACTACCGCCAAATTCTGCCCATCTTCAACATATTCAAGAATAAAAATGGTGGGTCTCAATGAAGAAATAAGTATTATAATGACAGAAATTATTGAACCAATTGTGAATAATATCTCAATAGGTCTAAGATATTTTTGCAATTCTAATCCATTTACAATTACAATTATAATTCCATTTGTCTGTAGTGAAATTATGAGATGCATGATTCTTATTTGAGTTCAACTAATAAGCTATAACCATTCCAAAATCTATGAAGGAGTACTGGGCAGGAAGTAACATGTTTGAGAAGGTAGTTGACACTATATACCTTTCCTTATATGGGCTAAATAGTTTTAACTTTTCCCTTATCATATATATTATCTGCACTTGAAAATCTCTATGGCATGTTGTTCCGAACATATTCTGAAAGTGCCTTTCTGCCTCGCCACAACATACATGGCATACTCTGTTATGTGCCATTCATTCACAGTGCTTTTTTTTCAGCTACAGTGAGTAATCCAATATGGCATGATATGAGTGAAGGGAAAAAATTAATTTGACATCATCTGAGACATGACATGCAGTCCAGTAGAAGTCCACCAGCATTTTGGGGGCAGTCTGCTCCTCCAAAATATTGGTGGGCTTCTACCAGATTACAAGCCATTACATCCCAAAAGACAGTAAGAAATTATAGAAGGGAAAAAAAAATTGAATTTACAAATTCTGGTAAACTTTTCTGTTATGGGAAGGGTTAATCTGCTCAGTGAGATTATAGGAAGTAAAATTTGATTCTAGACAATTTAGCAGAATTGTCTTCACAAGAGATAATTATTAAATAACAAACTTTATATATCATTACAGTGAATTTGGGTGACAGAATCGATTACACACAGATGAATCAGGAGAATGTTGGTGACCTCATTCAAGAAACACTGGAGATATTGGAACAGTATGGTGGTGAGAATGCTTTCATCAATATCAAGTATATGGTTCCAACCTACGAGTCTTGCATGCTCAACTGATCAGTGCTGGTGCTCAAAACACATGCTTTATTGATTTAGTCATGTAGAATAGGATATCTTAATGACTACAACATCTTAAGCTATGCATAGGCTTACTGTATGTCCTGATTTGACTTGGAAAAGACCAGTTTTGAGCTCTTGTCTTGGTGACTCAGCCGGTTCATAAATTTTTCCCGGTTTGTAGTTCCATCCCCTCTGCCCCACATTTTTCTTCCTCAGTGATAAAAATCTTGCAACCTTGCAATTGGCCCAAGTGATGTTCAATTTCAATTCAACGGTTTCGTGATAAACGTAACCATCAGTGGTGGGAGAACTTGTCCCTTGCCTTCATAACCTTGGGAGTGGAGAACAGTCTTGTCTTAACAGTTGTGGAAATTTCTTGTGCACGTCAGAAAGCAGGTATCAGTTTGTTAGAGGCAGTTGCTACATTTTGATGTTTACCGACTTATTTTATTAGAAACGTCTTTTCTATAATAATAGTTCAGAGAGCTACATAAAATTCTGTAATGAAAGTGTAAAACTGGGTGATAAGAAGGAAAAACACAACACATTTGCAAGAAAAGTAATCATTGTGTTGAATATTTGTGAAGTAAATCATAATTCTCATTACAACACTGTGGATCTTCCAATATCAAAAAACATCTAAAAACTACAAATCATAAATTACCACTAAAAATAGCAGTTGGCTCCTCATCAAGTACACAATTAAAGAAGAGGTGTGAATGATGAGGACTTCAATGTTGCTTCCAAACAGATAACTTTCACCTACCATACATCTATTCATGGTTTAAGTTTTATAGCCTCATACAGCACTTCAAAATGATATTGTTACATATTTAGGGTCATGACCAATAATATCTGGTTCTGCAGTAAAAGGCTGGATTTACCAACGAATTTTTTTATAATCACTCTTAATAACCAACAATTATAGTGCTATCGCTAACCTATCCACTTCACAAATCACTAGGACATGCTCCATTCTTGTCCTTGAACTCTCAGTTGAGTCAAAGTCAAAGTTATATATGACTGATGGTCAGTCAGCCAGTCTGTCTTGGAATAAAGCATTCATCTGGGGCTTAAGACCAGATCTTTATTACTGTCGGAGAGTTGCAGGCTTGTTGATGTGGGGCGCTCTCTCTGACAAGAGGACGGGTCTGTCATCATTTGTAGCTCCTGCTAAAATGGCAGTTTAGTCACTTGAATGGTTGTATGTTTTAATGCCGCCAAGTTTAAGCCTCTTGTATTTCCTGTGTCTGGGTTTGCCTTGTCCAGTGTTGTAAACATTTGCATTTTCGTCATTTTGTATGACTTCCGCTTGTTGCCTGCATAATTTTGTTACATAATCATATATGTACAGAAGTTTCAAAGCCATGTGCAAATCATGAACCGGTGTGTGCCTTGGAAAATTTCCAATGGTGCAGAAAATTTGTTTTGCAGGTGCTGCAATTTCAGTAGATGGCTGTCTGCCACAAACTCCCAGACGGGGCAAGCAGAAGTCATGATACTCCTAATGAGTGCTTTGTGGAGGGTCAGTTTAATGTTAGTGCCTAATCGGTCACTTTTGAATGGGGAATATATTCTAATGAATGTTCTGAAAGCCTTGGCTTTGTTTATTTCTATGTTCAATCTCAAGTTACTTCCTTATCAAAGATTACACTGAGGTATTTTACACTATTTACAAACAAAATGTTTAATCCATTCAGTGTAACATGGGACTCAGGTGGTCGATGACTGTGAGAAAAGTAAATCCCCTGACTCTTTACCTTCATTAATTTTAATATTCCAGCGCACACACCTGGTCTGCATTGAGCTGAGACCATGCTGGAACTTTCTGACAACAGGGGAAACATGAGAAATATTAACTTTTCACCTTCTATCTGCTCTCAATAAACATACAATTACACACACACACACACACACAAAAAAAAAAAGAAAAAAAAAAAAAGGAAATTGTGGCATAAATTTAAAACACATTTTGGAGGTATAAAAAGAAAGGGTAAAAACAACATATTTTTTCATTTAAAATAGGAAATTTGTAGAAATGTAACTGGAATTGGATATGCAGCACATATAGTACACAACTGTATTCAAAATTTGGTATTTACCATTTCATACCAAAGCCCTTGTAAAAATTTATAAGTATTTCTTTACACACTCTGTTTGTGTTACAGAGTTAATTGTTTTGTGATTTTGTGGACAGGGAGCACAAAATGGGTTTTGCAACATGGCATCAATAGATTTCTGTCATATCTTCCTTCTACAGATGGGACACTTAAAAGTATCTGAAGGTCTAAAAAATTATTATAATTCTGAACAACAGTGTCCATTAGTAATTGAGAGTTTATTTTTAAACCCATCTGGAGAACAGTATTTAATGTTAGTTTCTGGACAGATCAGTTTATTTAATGAACAACATTACAGATACAGAAAACTAACCTTAGTGCAACAGAGGTAGTGTGAACTGAAAAATCTGAAAACAGTTTTGGAAGAATGAGAAGAGAACTGTTTTGTTCTACAGGGAATTAAATTACTGTTATGGGAGTCAGAGGACATTGGAGATACTGTCATGATTTATGTGTGGCTAGAGACTGGACATACGTAGGCGAGTCAAATGAAAACCTTAAATATTTTCTGAGTACTATTTATTGTGCACAAGTGGTACAAAGCAGTATCACTTTTCAACATAATCTCCCCCACACCCAATGCAAGTACACCAGCCCTTACAAAGTGCATAAATTCCTTTAGAAAAATTTCTTTTGGTAGTCCATGCAACCACTCATTCACCGCGTGGCGTACCTCTTTATCAGAACGGAACGTCTTTCCTCCCATTGCTTCTTTGAGTGGTCCAAACATATGGAAATCACTTTGGGCAAGGTCTGGTGAGAATGCTGGATGAGGAAGATACTCAAAATGCAGGTCATTGATTGTCGCAACTGTTGTACGGGCAGTATGGGGCCTTGCATTATCATGTTGCAAAAGGATACCTGTGGACAGCAATCCATGTCGCTTGGATTTGATTGCAGGCCGAAGATGATTTTTTAGGAGATCTGAGTAGGATGCACTGGTGGTCCCTCTAGGCATGTAGTGCTCCAAGATAACACCTTTTTTGTCCCAAAAAAGAGTCAGCATAACCTTCCCTGCTGATGGTTGTGTTCCAAACTTCTTCGGTTTTGGAGATGAGGAATGGCGCCATTCCTTGCTCGCTTCCTTCGTTTCCGGTCGGTGGAAGTGAACCCAGGTTTCGTCCCCAGTAACGATTCTTGCAAGGAAGTCATCACCTTCTCGTTCAAAGCACCACAGAAGTTCTTCACAAGCATCAATAAGTCGGTCTTTCAATTCAGGAGTCAGCTGCCGTGGCACCCATCTTGCAGACACGTTGTGAAACTGGAGCACATCGTGCACAATGTGTTGTGTTGAACCATGACTAATGTTTAAACTTGCTGGAATTTCATTCAATGTCACTCCGCGGTTTTCCTTCACTATGGCTTCAACTGCTGCAGTGTTCTCTGGAGTCACAACTCAATGTGTCTGACCCAGACAAGGAGCATCTTCCACTGAAGTCACACCATTTGCAAACTTCCTACTCCATTCGTACACTTGCTGCTGTGACAAACATGCATCACCATACTGAAACTTCATTCTTCCATAAATTTCAATAGGTTTCACACCTTCACTACACAAAAACCGAATAACAGAACGTTGTTCTTCCCTGGTGCAAGTCTCATGTGGGGCAGCTACCTTATACTGGTGCTGTGACCGTGTTCGTGCATCTGCACTATGCTGCAACCTACAGGCCATTCTGCACGCTAACCAACTTACAGGATAATGGCGCAAAATTTCGATTTTTTATTACAAATTTAAGGTTTTCATTTGACTCGGCCTCGTAGATTGGTGAATGGATTTATTGACCACTTATACATACCACTATGAACTACAAGTAATTACAGTACTATTGCTAATCTCCACACTTCAGAAATCACTAGCACATGCTAAGTCTTCTTTCTCTGTTTTCACTAGTCATATTCTGGCAACGGATTCTAACACAGTAATTATAACAGTCTCACTGTAATTATAGCACACATGAAGTCTTCTCTTCACAGCCAGACTTCCAACTAACACTATGTCCAATGACTATTAACTGGGTTGCTCCAGTCTTCAAGATGACTCCTTGGCAAAGTCCACCAGAAAACACCCCCGTTTCCATTGTTGTAGTTCAACTGTTGCAGCTGCCTAGCACCATTTCCAAAACTAACTCCATTGCAGAGGCATGTTTACCATGCTCTTGCATAGCAATGGCTGTTGTCTTGTTTGTTTCAAGGTCCCTGCCTAGCAAGAGGTCTGTACCCCACAATATTAATTCTACAACCTTTATTGATGAGACTGACACTTCTTATGGAACATATATTCATTCATTCCATATATATCTTACACACCACTCTGACAAGACAGCTTAAGGGAAAGTGTTTTATACATAGATAAACAGTGAATGTACTTGGGCCAAAGCAGAAAAAAACTGCAGAAATTATCAGTGCAAAATATGAACAAGTACTAACATCCTTTTCGATGAAGTAATAATTACAAAGTGGTTTATGTTTTGACTTTGGCAGAAGGAAATTCTGGAAGAGAAAGGAGCCACATGTGAAGAAAAATGGATTTAAGTTTTTAATGACTTTTGTGAAAAGAATATTTTGGTTGCTAACCTCATAAAAGTTACTGAATCTATCTTTTGCTTTACTGGAATATCAGCTTCTGTTGAATGACTGTTCTCAATCATGACCATATGGTCCCTGGACCATGGGTGCATATTGGAAAGAACGAGTCAAGAGCTGCTCTTCTGCAAAGTTAATAATGAACTAACAGGTCCAAAATGTTATATATATATAAAATCATAAAAATCATACATCGCTAAGAAAGTAGTTTCTAGTGAAAAAGATCGTTCCCCCCCCAAATTATATTTTTGTAGTGCAAAGTAACTTCAAATAAAACATTTTGTTTGTTATACACTAACATTTTATT